TCCTCCGACTCTACCGTCTTCCGACAACTCCTTCATCCGGCGAAGGAAGCGATCATTCGGTTGCTGGGTGACTATCCTCTCACGAAGGGTCGGTCCTACAACCAAAGTAGTCAACACACCCCTGGCTGTCGAAAGTGGTTCCACTACCTCAAGCTGTAGCCGCTCGAACTCCCGAAGAAGGACATCCTGCTTAGTGAATAGACAAGACAACTGGCCATAACTCCTTCGACTAAGGGCATCGGCTACCACGTTAGCTTTCCCAGGATGGTAGCTAATCGTGCAATCGTAGTCCTTGACCAGTTCCAACCACCTACGCTGCCGTATATTCAGCTCCCTCTGAGTGAAAATGTACTTTAGGTTCTTGTGGTCGGTGAAAATCTCACACTTGCCTCCATAGAGGTAGTGCCGCCAAATCTTCAAGGCGTGAACGACTGCAGCTAACTCTAGATCATGAGTGGGGTAGTTCTGCTCGTGAGGCTTCAGCTGCCTCGAAGCATACACTACGACTCTCCCCTGCTGCATAAGAACACATCCCAAACCCATTTCGAAGCATCACTATTGATGGTGAACTCCAAAGTAGGGTCGAGAATGGATAGAACGGGCGCGGTAGTGAGTCTCCTCTTCAACTCCTGGAAACTCTCCTCACACCTAGGACTCCATTCGAACCTCACGACTTTCTTCGTAAGATTGGTTAGTGGTTGGGCTATTTTCGAGAAGCCCTCGATAAACCTCCAGTAGTATCCTGCTAACCCCAGGAAACTACGAACATCAGTTGCACTCCTTGGCGTATCCCATTTACTCACTGCCTCGATCTTGTTGGGATCCACCTCAATGCCTCTCGATGTCACAATGTGGCCAAGGAATGCCACACGATCCAGCCAAAACTCGCACTTCGAGAACTTAGCATACAGCTTCTTGCGGCGAAGGGTCTCCAGCACAATCCTCAGATGCTCCTTGTGCTGGTCGATGTCTCGGGAATAAACCAGGATGTCGTCGATAAACACAATGACAAACTGGTCTAAGAAAGGATGAAAGACCCTATTCATAAGGTCCATAAACACGGCCGGGGCATTGCTAAGTCCAAATGGCATAACCACGAACTCATAATGGCCATATCGGGTACGGAAGGCAGTTTTAGAAATATCAGACTCACGGATCTTCAGCTGATGATAGCCAGAACGCAAGTCAATCTTTGAAAAGACGCTGGCTCCCCTCAGCTGGTCAAAAAGGTCCTCGATGCAAGGAAGGGGATACTTGTTCTTGACTGTAAGGGCATTCAACTCCCGATAGTCAATACACATGCGCATCGATCCGTCTTTCTTCTTCACAAATAGGACGGGCGCTCCCCATGGCGAAACACTCGGACGAATGAAACCAAGATTGAGCAACTCCTGGATCTGGGCCTTGAGCTCTTGAAGCTCCTTTGGCGCAATACGGTAAGGGGCCTTAGAAACAGGGTCGGCTCCTGGTACTAGATCAATGGTAAACTCCACTTGACGGTCGGGCGGTCCTCCGGGCAACTTATCAGGAAAGACGTCGAGATACTCGCAGACGATAGAGACACTCTCCGGGGACCTCTCAGAGTCGTCCTCGGATATCATAGAAACCAGATAGCCTTGACAGCTACCCTTAGAAAGGCTCTTCCTAGCTTGCATCGAAGAGATGACTCGAGGCACAGTCCTCGACTTCACCCCATAGAAAATAACAGGCTGATCGGAAATGGGGAATAGAGTGACTTCACGCTCCTGGCAACGGATGTCAGCTCGATAGCGAGTGAGGCAGTCCATGCCCAAGATTACATCGAAGTCCCGCATTTCAATAACATAGCATTCGGCCTCTAAAATATGCCCACCAATACTGACTGGAAGACTGGGAATCAAAGAGATGGAGATAATAGTCTTTCCC